TTAGCGACACTGAAATAAATTTAATAGATATAAAACTGGTAAAACCAGTGGTCAGTATCCACAAGGCAGTGATTAATTGAATCTCCACAGGACACAATTTGCATTTCTATGGACAAGAATAATTTGCATTATTCAGACAATAAAACATGGAGAAACCATATAAAATCAGATAATCTGGACAGCTGATAACCTATACTCTCTCTATATATATTGTTCTTTGAATTCTCCTTTAAACAAGCTGGAACATCTTATTGGTTCCCTTGTTAGTAAGATTTCTGATATATGTTCATTTTATATCTTTATGAGAGTTATGGTTGTACCCATTTAAAAAGTAGTCATTTGGCAGTTCTGATTTCATCTTTGCTTTTTAATATTCCTTGCTCACCCTTCTAATGCAGAGGTTCGTCATAGGCTATTCTTAAATCTTGGGATCAGGGTCACTAATCCAACTATTGGGGGCTGGGGGCTGGGGGTCAGAGGTATGAGATACAACATGGCTTCCTGTGAACCAGGGATTGTTGGCAAGAAACGCAGTGATTGACAGTTCTAGGGAGCCCATCACTCAGCTGAGAAACACAGGGACTTATTATAAGGTCTTGCTCCTTCCAACACTAAACATGCTTTCAAAACTGATAAATTGAAGAGTACTCAAGTATTAATCTTACAAACTTGAGTTTCAACATAGAGTTTTTGCTGAAGGTAAGATAAACCTGTAACCTACAGAAATGTGGGCTAAATAGGACAGTAAAACACATTTCAAAAAATAACTGTAACTCTACCTATCTCATGACTAAATTATTTTTGTGTGTATTTTATTTGGGAATATAAAAGGTGAATAGCAGTTTTTAAAAAAAGTTCTGGGCAGATTGCTATATTCATTCAGATGAAACTTTTATTTTTCAAAATGTGATACAGCTGTTTCATTTTGACATTAATAATAGCCAACATCTGTGTGACTCATTCACTTAATTCTCTACACAAAGCACATACTATTTATATAAAAAATAAATTAAGCTTTAATAATGAAACATAAGTTTACAAATGCAGCTTCTTAAGGCCTAATGAAAAATAAGAAATGTGGAAATTTCCAAGAGGCATGATCACTGTGGAATCTGGCTATTCAGAAAGAAAATATTTTGAAAATTAAAAACCAGGGACAAATTATTGAGTATTTTTAAATGCCAATTTTTTAATTCTGTGTAATTCCAAATCTAATTATTAACTTTTTGTTGGTTAGAAGATGCTTTTACGGTTGGGTTCAAAAAGCTAAATGTCACATAGGTTGAAGGTTAAGTTATTTTCCTTTTAAAGTTGAAAGGGCTGAGGCCCTTTTTAGCCATCCTTTTTGCTTCCAAATACAATTCATCACTTAGTGGCCCTAGATCAGCAATCTTAACATTTTATGCTCAGATACCTCTTAAGTGAATTTTAAAAATCTGTGTATCTTCTTGCACATTGCTATACTGACATCTAAAATTTCTCATCATGAATAGTTGCAAAGTGCTGGCATACCATAGACACTACATGTTTAAATAAAACGGTTGTATTCCTTTTTAAATTTAGCCCAGGAGGTTCTAAATATAAGTTATTTGATAGGTACTATGATCTTTTTAAAAATTTTATGAACAGGGCCATTTTTTTTATGATCAGTCTTACCTGAAGCAAGGCAATTTTTAGTAGCAGGGAATGCCCCACTTTTCCTTTTACTCCTTGAATTTGTGTTTTCATACCACTTCTCCCTCAAAATTTTAGCCTAATACATTTTTTATTTTTATGTTGTTTAATTCTGTCTCTGTACCAAAAGTATGATATAGTATCCTATAATCCTAATGCTGTAAGCCTTTAAAAATGTTCTTCTGGATTGAGCTCAATCAATAAACACATAGCACAAATTTCACCAAATTATTAAACATAGTAAAACTTCATTGGAAATGTATCACTTAACGAGATAAAGAGGGCTCTTCTCCACAATTATTTCATCTATGTGGATTGATAACATCTTAAGATTGAGCCAAAGTTCATCATCGATTCTATTTTCCCTTTTCAATTTCATTTATGGAGGTGTTGATCCTTGTTCACATAGATACATCAGTGATAGCAGAATCACTGAATTCTTCCAACCCCTTTTGTAGTTACATGCTAAGAGACACAGAAATCTGCAGGCTGTTCCTTCCAGTTTGTTGAAAGCAGAGAATTTGGAACCACCAGAAAAATTTGGAAAATCCATTTGCAAAAGGATTTGTGCCCTGTTAAGTCTTTCACTTTCCAAATATCCACATTTTGAATTTTATACCTTGGGTCATGCTCTACAATAAGACTAGAGGTGGAGAAAGCCATATTTTCTTTTGTAAGGTGAGAAAAGGGCGTTTTCTCAGGCAAGTGAGTCTTAGAGAGGAATACAACAGGAAGATGAGGGTCTGAACACTGCTCCCCTGAGAGTCCTGGAGTCTGTGTATTCCTTGGAAAGCTCTGGTATACTCCCAGGGGTAAGGGTAGCTTAATCTAAAGAACACTGGCCGTGGCAACTTAAGTTTCGATTTTAACTAGGTCACAAAGCATACGAAGTATTAGACCATGTTGCCTGGCTGCCTTACTTAATAGAGCAGCAGGGCTTCAAATGTGTTCCACTAGAGATAAGTCCCACGAGACACTTCTGGCAAAAGGATTCTGAGATCAAATGTGGAAAACAAGACCCTCTACACCTTTCACTCCTGCACATCTAGTCTCACAGTAGAAAAACTGTTTAGCTTTTATAACCTAAGTTTCCCAAACTCACAAGGCCTAACCAGCCTCCCCACTTTATTTTTCCATGTAATCACCAATATTCTAAATAACACACTTAGGAAAATGGGGAACAAAAACAATGTAACACATATGCAGTGGTGGTTTCGACCTATCAGTGCTGCTTCCATCTTTCAGAACGTGCCTGTTCCGAGTCTTCTTGGCCTGGATTGCCTGTGCTTTAACAGTCATGTAGGAAGCATATCTCAGCTAGATACTGAGGTTATGTAGCATCAAATAGACTCTGGAAACAGCCACGATACCATGTGTGCCTTTCCTGAGAGAATCAGTCCCTAACACCACCAAGAACCAGATCAACATGTTACTCTGTCAAGGACAGGAGGAAGGAACCAAAGCAAGTACTTTCTAATGGTAGATTCCAGTTGTAGTACCAGGAGGAGGAGACAGTTTTAGGCAGAGGGTTCTTCCCAGCACCATTTATGTCATAATCCCCTGACTGCTCTTTGGCCTTGCATGGGTTTTACACAGCAGCAGCTGGAGAGAGGTTTAGCTTCTGCTTCCTATGCTGCCATATGTCAATTTCTTTGATAAGGTATGAAAAATCCATTTTGGGCAGAAAGGGGATGCAGGCCTTAGCACTGTGGCTTTAGAGTAGAATGAAGTGGGGAGCTGAAAGGAGGTAATGACAGCAACACCTGAGCTCTACTGTGTAGAAGTCATGACAGAGCTGAGAGGGGTTGGGGGAGATGCCAGGAGCAATAAATAGGTTCTGGTAGCTACCTGGCCAAAGGTTAATGGGGCCCTGGCTACGGAGTGCCTGTAGCACTCATCCTAGTGCCTTTTTCACCCAGCCTTTCTTGAAAGTTGCTTTGAACATCTGCCACTAAGAGGAATTTTCTTTCTTCAGTTGCTGACTGCCAAATAAAATAGCAACTCCCAGTTGGAGGAGTAACTGGAGTAATAGCACCCCATAACAGCCCTTCCTTGGCCAGACTGCTGTTCCCTGTATTCCTGGCTTCAGGCAAGGTAAATACCTTTCTTTTAGGAGCTCGTGGGTGGAGATGATTGATGAGACCCATAGCTTTTTATTTTTTTTAACATCACACCCCCAAATCTTGGCACTGTATTTGGCATGTGGAGGTGATCAGTAAGTTTTTATAGAGTGATGGGACCAGAAGGGTCTTCTGGTCTGAGCCTGATTTGTTCTGCCCTGCTCTTCAGCAGTACATGCATGCTAAGCCCAGCATTTCAGATAACAAGAGGAGGGCCAGATGGGTTTTCTAGGGGCCAGTTTCATCCACATCAAGCATCAGGCTTACTGCTGGTTTGTTCTTCCCCACCACAGCCATTGCTTTTCACAGTTACACCCGTTTTCCCATCAGTTGTAAAGTCACTCATTGAGAAGTTTTGACTCTACCAACCAACTCCCTTCCCAACCCAGCACTCTCCTCTCCTTTAAAAAGCCATATTACATCACTGGTATCTGTTAATATCTTAAGATGCAGAGGTGTGAAGCCCTCACCAGCCGCACATATTATCATGAACTAGGTAGGTTTGCCCCAAGGGAGATGGCTGCATTTGAAATTTTCTGTAACACCCTAATGCTTAGCCCATTAAAGCTCAGCTTGCTGCTCCAGAAAACTGGGTAACCCAGAGACATTTCGCCATCAACCTAACTTTTGTCTGCCTCTTTCAAGCAGCAGTTGACCTCTTGCCTGTGGAGAGCTGTGAACCGAGGGCCTTTCCAGCAGCCTCCCAGCCAGTTCAGTAGGGCCATGGGGGATTAGTGGCGCCAGAGCCTACCAGCAGCTGGCAGAGCCAGGGGCAAGTGAGAACCTGCCCCTGCAGCAGAGCTCTGGTCTCTCTGGTGGGCTTTTTAAAACAAAGAGGCCCCAGGATTCCCACCTCCATCCCAGTAACTCTGGTCACAAAACAAGCCCTCACCATTCATTAGAAATTGTCTTAATGAAGAGATCCCATCACTCAGCCATTTTCTTGTGGACTGCAGCAGGCAGCCAGTGGTAGTAAAGTACACTGAACTGAGCAGGCTGCCTCTGGGTAGGGCTTCTCTTTGGGCCCTTATGGAATCATTTGCCTTTTAGTTAAAATCCTTTTCAGAATCTAATGAATAGTTTCTTACATTTCCAGCTCATCTTCTATGGACGTCAATTACCTGGATCATTAGAGGTAGAATCTTCTTGGCCGGAAAAGAAATCCTGTTCACTGTGTACAGGTTGTGCAACAGAAGGCTTAAGTGATCAAGGTTTTCATTGCTTTTATTCAATGAGGTTTGGAACATGAGAGGCCAAAAATGAGGAGCACATTTTGGGGAATCCTCTATAAAGAATATAAGTTAAGGAAGTTGTCCAAGATGAAAACAGTGGCAGGAAGTTACCCCAGCTCATGCCAGTTGGGTCTTCAGAAATGTCACCTTGATGGCAGGCTTGAAGAAAAGATGTCACAGATTAGCGTCTTCCTGGAGTGTGAAGAGGGCACATTCTCTTACATGCAAACACACATGTGCACACACACAGTACCCTTACACACATAATCCAGCTTCTATGAGTAAAACTTGCTGTTGCTGACTCTCTTCTCTCTTAACCTGAAATAAAACAGATTTCACCGTCAGCACTGGGGCATGAGAAATGGGCTGTGTGCTGAACTCTGTAACATTTCTCTGTCCATACATTTGCCAGTCATTCATAGCTGGATGGTGTAGGGCTGAGTGTCAGAGAGGCAAGCTCCAAGTTCCTGGTAAGACATTGAGACTCAGAAAGTTTAAATCTCCTCAATGGTAAAATAGAGTAAGAGCTACTCTGCAGGCTGACATGAAGGTTAAATGAGAATAATGTGAGTAAGGCAGGCAGCACAGTTTCTCATTGCTGGCTACTATTAGGACTTTTGTTTGGATGATTCTTAGTACTTTTAGACACGTTATGAAATACTTGGCAACCCTGGCCGCCCCGTATCCCATTACATGCCTGTAGCACAACCAGAAGCATCCCTGTTGGGGGATCTTGACCCAGTCTAGAGCCACTGGACTAGCCCGTTCTTGAGAACACAATAAGGACTCCTTAAAAGTCGGTGGTCACCATTTATTTTCACTATTAAATTGAAATGTCCTTCTAGAGGAAATAGTTCTACTTAGGGGAAGTGGCAAGCGCCTAAGGTATTACTTTAAGTTAATTTTTAGAACAAAGAGCACTAGAGTCAAGGGTGCCAAAGCAATTTTTTTTTTTTTTTTTTTTTTTGAGATGGAGTCTCCCTCTGTTGCCCAGGCTACAGTGCAATGGCGTGATGTCGGCTCACTGCAGCGTCTGCCTCCCAAGTTCCGAGTCTCCTGCCTCAGCCTCCAGAGTAGCCGGGATTACAGGCACCTGCCACCATGCCTGGCTAATTTTTGTATTTTCAGTAGAGACTGCATTTCTCCATGTTGAGCATGCTGGTCTTGAACTCCTGACCTCAGGTGATCTGACCACCTCAGCCTCCCAAAGTGCTGGGATTACAGGCATGAGCCACCATGCCTGGCCCATAAGCCACCATGCCCGGCCAAGGATTTCTGAAGAAAGCAACTCAGAGGGCTTTCCAGAAGCCTGGCCCCTGGTGCCCAATATCGCTGTGCCTAGAGACCACCCAAAAGTTTGCAGGTGGAGGGGCTGACCTACCTCTTGTTGCATTTCTCCTGGTACAGCTGGAGCTGGTTCTCATTAACATTGAACTCTTTAACCAGGGCATCCCGGTTGGCATTGCGCAAGTTCTGGTGTGTGTCATACAGAAAGAGTTGGTTGTTCAGTTCTTCTTGCCGCCTCCTTAGCTGGCGACAGGAGGAGTAAAGTTCCTCTTCGCTCTCCTGCAGGATGCGGGGGAGAGAACAACCATGTGGTGACTACACCTTCCAAACCAAAATGTGAACGTGGCATCTCACAAGCACACCTGAAGGGAATATGGGGCAGAAGTTTTGCAACTTGGATTAGCCCAGACGAGCCAGGGCCTATTTTTACCAAAGATAAAACACAATTATTTATTGTGTGGGAAGCAAGCCGTCTAAAAAGTGCTTGGTCTTTACACTGTCGCTTTATTGCAAAACATTGAAATAATTACTACACTGCCCGTAGATCCTATTTCTTAATCTAATCCAGTTTTCCCTTGGTCTACATGTCACCTTCTGGTCTTTAACTGCAAAAGCATCTAAGCAGCTGCATGCTTAAAGTGGAACCCAGCAGAGGAGAAAAAACAGCATGACATGAGAGCAACAAGGCAGGCAAGAGGCAGATAATTTAAAATCTTTTAAGGGTCTTAAAAGGCAAGGTAACAAGCTGCAACATGGATGAACCTTGAAAACATTATTCTAAGTGAAAGAGCCCAACTCTAAAAGATCACATATTGCGCGATGCCATTCATATAAAGTGTCCAGAACTAGCAAAATCTTAGAGACAAAGTAGATTAAAGGTTACCAGGGTCTGGGGGATGGAGTGAGTGGCAGCAGCTAATGAACATGAGATTTCCTTTTTGGGTGTTGGAAATGTTCTAAAATTGATTGTGGCCATGACTGTACAACACGTAATAGGCTATAAACCACTGAATTGTACACTTTAAATGAGTGATGATATGATATATGGTTATATGAATTATCTCTCAAAGCTGTTACCCAAAAAAGCCAAGGTATCATAAATTACACCTTGCAGAGATGGGCATGTGCCTCACCTGTAGCCGGTAATGATTTCTACTTCCCCCACCAGTACCACCTCCAGGCACATGACCCAATCAAGGCCAACTAGACGCATCCGTGGGAGTTTCATTGGTGTTCTGGGTAGAGTGTCTTTTCTTGGATCAGGTGAAAGAGTGAGTGTGGTCCTGTCATGGCCACACTGCTATTGTGTCAAGAAGTTGGGAATGTGCCAAAAAAAGAGGAAAACGGCCACTGCGTGAGCACAGAGATTCAGCCATGACTGAAACAAGACCTACTCCTAAACTTTTCAGTTGCAGGAGTCAAAATAGTACATTATACTAGGGGAGACAAAAAGATAAAACCCACTCAGGGTAGGGAGTTTGGGTTTCAGTGCAGAGGGAGGATGAGGATGTTGTACCTCATCTGTTTCAGAGGGTCACTGACTACTGTGTGAAGCTTGGCTTTGCAGGAGGTCAAGTCAATTGGCCTTTCCTGATGGAGTTCAAGTGAAAGACTCCTGTGCTACAAAAACATGTGTCAAGGTGCACAAACAAGATCCTTTGTCATTTACTTTTAGAAAAACATGGACTCGAACCATACTCTGCAAGGTTTTATTCCTACTTTAATGACCTAACAACAGTCCCCAGGGTAACAGCTGGAACTGTGACTTTGGAGAAGGGGGAGAGAAAATGGTTATTCCAGCTGTTTGCAAAGGTTGAAGAGTAAGCAAAGGTAAAATGGGCTGTCCTTGGTGATTAAGTGAATGTGTCAAGTGAGGCACTGGGAAGAGTCAGTAATGACTTCACTTAAATGTATTCCCTTCCTAAAGGGAATACATAGCTTTCCTCCCTATGAAGAATAAAGCATATTAAAAAGTCAAACAATAGATGCTGGTGAGGCTGTGGAGAAATAGGAAACTTACACTGTTGGTGGGAATGAAAATTAGTTCCACCATTGTGGAAGACAGTATGGTGGTTCCTCAAGGATCTAGAACAAGAAATACCATTTGACCCAGCAATCCCATTACTGGGTATGTACCCAAAGGAATATAAATCATTCTACTATAAAGACCCATGCACATGTACGTTTATTGCAGCACTGTGTACAACAGCAAAGACATGGAACCAACCCAAATGCCCATCAATGACAGACTAAAGAAAATGTGGTACATATACAGCATGGAACACTATGCAGCCATAAAAAGGAATGAGATAATGTCCTTTGCAGGGACATGGATGACGCTGGAAGCCATCATCCTCAGCAAACTAACACAGGAACAGAAAACAAAATACCACATGTTCTCACTCATAAGTGGGAGTTGAACAATGAGGACACAGGGAGGGGAATAACACACAGCAGGGTTAGTCGGGGGATGCGGGGAGGGAGAGCATTAGGACAAACAGCTAATGCATGTGGGACTTAAAACCTAGATGACAGGTTGATGAGTGCAGCAAACCACCATGGCACATGTAACAAACCTACACGTTCTGCACTTGTATCCTGGAACTTAAAGTAAAAATTTAAAGAATAAAGTTCAAGGAAAAGTTTTGAAAAATAAAAATAAAAATAAAGTCGCCGGGCGCAGTGCCTCAGGTCTGTAATCCCAGCACTTTGGGAGGCTGAAGTGGGGGGAATGCTTGACCAGGAGTTCAAGACCAGCCTGGGCAACATAGTGGGACCCTGTTTCTATAAAAAATGCAAAAATTAGCTGGGCATGGTGGCATACCCTGTACTCCCAGCTATTCAGGAGGCTGAGGGGGTAAGATCACATGAGCCCAGGAGGTTAAGGCTGCAGTAAGCCACGATCATGCCACTGTACTCCAGCCTGGGTAAGACAATGAGACCCTGTCTCAAAAAATAAAGCAAAACGAGAACCCCATTTAAGTCTTAATTATATACCATGAAAGGTCTCTCTTTCCCCTTGTCTGCACCTAGAAGAAAATGGCTTCTATTGTTTTATTCTATATAATGAGTATTTGTTATTCAGGTGCAAGTTCAAAATTCACTTTTTCTATGAATGCTTCTGTAACTGCAGCCCTTTATCACCTTTTCTGAGTCCCAAAATATTTACAGCTATATTACATACTGTAGTCCTGGGTACACTATATATATGTGAGATAGAATGCACATTCAGAAAAGAACATAAAAGAAACCATTTACTGAATAACTCTACAGCAAGTGAACCAGTCTTCTTGACTTGAGGAACCACCATTCTAGTCAAGAGAAAGCATTTTGTAATACTTATTTCCTGGATTTCTTTTGAGTCTGAGTTTTCACTTAAAAATTTAGTTTATTTTATTAGAAAATAAAGGAAGCCTTTGGTAGTAAGTTTTACCTGGCCTGAGACAAAATCTTTATGGCATTCTCTGCCTTTATTTATTTATTTTTTTTTTCCTGTTTGTTGGGTGGGGGGAAAATACACAAAAGTAAAGTTTTTCCCCCACCAATACTTTTTAAATTGTTTTATGTTGGAAGTTTAAGCTTACAAAAAAGTACAGTAATAGTACAATGTTCTACATACCCCAACCACCTAGACTCCACAGTGTTAACATCTCACACAACCACAGTACAAGTATCAAAACTAAGAAATTAATATCGGTGCAATACTAAAACTACAGATCTTATTCATATTTCATTGGGTTTTCTACCAATGTCCTTTTCCTGTTCCCACATCAAATCTGGGATCCCACACAACCTTTAGTCATTGTGCTACCTTAGTCTCCTACAATTGGTATGGTTTCCTCATTCCTCCTTCAGGACACTTTGGAAGAGTACTAGTCAGTTATTTTGTATGAATGTCTAGCAACTTTCATTTGTCTGGTGTCTTCTTCTATTTTGTTTGAGGTGACGCAGTTTTGGCAAGAATGTCACAGAAGCAATGTACCCTTCTCAGCGTCTCACATCAGGAAGGACGTGATTTCAACATGTCTTATTCCAGGTGGTTGGTAACACTGATCATCTGATTAAAATGGTGCCTGCAGGGTCTATCCGCTGTAAAGCTGCTATTTTCTTCTAATTGATACATTTCTTGGAGGAAGACACTTCTGGGACAATGGAAATATATTTCTCTTCCAACTTTCATTTAGCATTCATCAGTAGGTCTTACTGCAGCAGTTAGTGCTATGCTGTTTCGATAGTGATTTTCTAGTTTCTTCATTCCTTCTACATTTATTAATCAGAATTCGTTTGTGGGGAGGACTGACTCTTCTCTCTCATGTATTCATTCATTCACAGACACGTAGCTATTTCATTCCGTGTGCTAGAATCCAATATTATTTTGCTATGCAAATTGTTCCAGCTGTGACCATTGGGAGCTCTCCCTGGTTGGTTCTTAGGCCCCTTTGATGCCACCATTTTTTCAGCACTTCTTTATTTACTGAAACGTTAAGATGCTCCAAGTTCTTTTTATATTTTATTTATCCCAAGTCTGGAAATCAACCACTTGTCTAAGGAGCCCGGATTTCTTTTTATTGGAATATGATATTTGGCAATATCTGGAATTCAGAAACCAATGACTGAGGTGTCATTAATTCTAGGCACTCAGCAGAGTGAGCTAGGATATGTATGTATTTGTAGTAACATGTAAACACACACATTTATTCATCTACCTATGTGTGAATCTATATATAAGTATATATGTAACTTAAGTGAGTTTATATTGATATCTCCAATTCCAATCAAACATTAATTTTGGAAGAGTTGGTATAAATTTCTACTTGTTCACATGGTGTTTTTTAATAAGATTTTATGTTTTTCCTTATATAAGTTGTATACCTTTATTTAAATTACTCCTAAATGTGTTAATGGTTTTTGTCAGTAACACAAATGGGATTTCCCATTTGTCCCTTCCTCCCACACCACATTTCTGTTTGTTACTTCCAGAACAGAGAGAAGTGGTTACATTCAATAAATACAAGACAAAGTCTCTCTTTAAAATTGAAGTCTTCCTGTTTTGTAAACTATACAATCAGAATTTGTATAGTTTAAATTTGTATAGAATAGAGATCACCTGACCTTTTTTCTACAATTATACTGATTATTTCATTTGCCTGATTACATTTATGGCATCTACTAGTTTATGCTTTTTTCATATTTAATTTGTTGCTAACTGTGCCACTGTTAAACCATCCTTGCATTCCCGGAATAAATGCTTAGTTTAATATATTGCTCTTCTAGTAAAC